AAGCGTTTTGCAATATCTCGCAACTTGTTCTCAGGAATTGGCTGCTGGTGCCGCTGTCTTAAAAACTCAATGCTAAAAAAAGAAAAAAAAAAAAGAAGGTAAAAATGAAAAAAAGTTGCTTGTAATTCCCATTTTTCACATTGGGGTTCTATACCATTTCACCTTGAATCATGGATCTTGATTCTTTATTTTTGATTCGAGGCCATAAAAAGCTTAAAACGTGGATAGACAATTTGCCTCAACATTGCCCTTCGTCCTCTAGCAACAAACACTGAAACTGTTGATGAAGAGATAAGGAAATCTGCAGGACCACTTCTCTTCTCTGAAGCCTTCCTGGGCAGTACTCTTCACAGAGAATGAACGAAAACTACTGGTAGCTTTACTTTCAAAGTTACACATAATGCAATTTCATCATTTTCCAGTTGCTCGAGCTCCTTATAGTACAAACTCAGTATATCTTGGCTCCCTCAACCGCTGCAGCAACAGGAGAAGCTGCTGTTTCATCACCAGATCTTCCAGGAGATGCATCCTGGCAACCGGCTTGCTTGCAGCTTCTTCTGTTTTGGTTCCAGTCCCTCTGGCAGAGGCTGTTGAGGCACCACAGGAAGCAGACACGTTGGCTAACATCCCTCAGACACTCTCCGGTGAGTGTGCTTCCACCAAAGACTGCAAAAAAGCTAGAATCCAACACCCCAAATCCAAGAAAGCAGAGTCATGCACAGTCAAGTGTGTCAACACCTGCATTCGAGGCGGCGATGGCTCCCCCGGAGAAGGCCCTCTTAACATCAGAAGGTACATGTCAAGTTCTATATTCCTAAGAAAACAAATTTTGATTTTTAATTCTCTTATAATCTTCTGCAGACCTCTAGTGGTTTTTAAACAAGGGTTTCGAAGCCGCCAATACTGGTAATAACATCTGACTCCACAAACAAATGTATTGAATTGGTCTTATTTGTACCATCCCATTGTGCTTTAATTATTGGTTTTGCAATTTGCAGCTTGGTGGAGTGTTCGGATATATGTAATTTGATTGGAGATGCTGATGATGGACCCTGAAACATGGAAAAATACACCATTTTTTTCTTTCAATTTTTGGTTGTTGAAGATAGACAAAATGAATTTGAGCTAATATATTGTCTCCAATTGCCATATCAATGTAGAGCAAAACACATCCGAGTTTGAGAAAGAGAAGGTCCATCCCTGTTGTATAGCATTATTATCAATTTTTGAACAAAATACATTGCCATAAAACATCGTTTTAGAATATGGAAGTATATATGCAACTCAAGAAGAGGTACAATTGAAGTATCTCAAGGCTTGTAATTGTAATTCTCATTTTTTAAACTATAAATATTCAAGTATATAGTACTCTCTCCTCTGCATATTTATCCTAAAGCCGAGATGGCGGCAATGGAGACTCCCGGTTAAGTTTCCGGTCATCTTCTTCGTCTTCTGCATCGCTCTCTCTTGCTTCCTTCTCTGCATCATCCACCATCTGCAAAAAAATTCAACTTCACTATAGTAACACGTGGGGAACTGGATTAAATGGAGATGTATTTAAGAGATCGACCTTTGTTGCGATGGCAGGGGAGAGAGAAGGAAGAATATCAACAAGAAGGTTCTTGATGCGTTGCAGAGCATCCATGGTGAGTCCATGAGCGGCAACTGTCACATCTCTTACCACACTCTCCAACAAGTGCCTTGCGTTCTCCAAAGCATCCACCGGTACTGCGGCTGCAGCCAGCTTCTCCAACACCCTCTCCTTGATTACCCCCAGGTTCCGCCTTATATCGACCACCTTCATCATCCCTTCGCCCACTTCGGCTGCTCTGATCTTGTTTGCATGGTCCGGGGAATACAACTCTCCATGCCCCACATCATGATCATCTTGTTCTGTGTTAGTGGTGGTAGTTTGTTCTTTCTTTTGGATCATGAGCTTCCATTAAAATCAAAATTGGCTTGTTTCTAATATTCCTTGACAATGATTTTATTGATTGTCTAGATGTGAAGCAAAATAGTATGATTTATTTTTACCTTTTTATCTTCTTCTTGGAAAGGATAGACATGCGCAGCTGGAGGCATTAGTAGACACATGTAGTTGGGCATGGTTGTGGGAAACCACAGGTGTATCCATTGTTTTCTCACACCTGGAACAGAATCGGACATAGTCCGATGCAAAGTATCCAAAAGTAGCTAAACACACAGTATTCATAATAGAAAAAGTGTTTTACAATTTTATATTTTAAAAAATGTAGTTGAAAATATAAATTTTTATATTATTTTATTATTAATAATTTAATAATTTCAATAATCAATTTACATTTTTATTTATAAAATATAAATTCCTTAATATTGCATAAACTGCATAAAAGTCCAATTTAAGCTTCATTTGTGTGTGCTGGGTACAAGCTTTGGGAATTTATAATTTATAATTTATTTTAATTTATTTTTATATATTTTTAATTTATTTTATTAATATTTTATATATATTTGAGATAAAAAAATAAAATAAACTTATATGTACATTACAATACAACACTCACAGGTCACCAATGAAGGCTCACCCCCTGAGAATAGCTCGCAAGATTTACTAGCCCATGGCATAAACTCATTTGATCCCTAACTCACGGTGACTCGGCTTGACGAAGTCGAGTTATTGTCACCATTTAATAATAATTAATAAGGCTAATAATTTATTTGTAATTTTATTAATTTATAATTATCTTTTAATTAATTAATATAATTATTTATACCATAAATTATATTTTTTAAGTAAAATCACGTGTTAATGGATAAGATAAGATCATATCTTAGATTTATTATTGAGATTCAGATCTGTAAAAATTGGTGTTAGGAAACGGTGAACATTATTTGGTTTGTTACGGTTTAAGTTTAAAAAGAAACAAGAATTCCTAAAATTTAGGAGGAAATGCGATTGAGGAATTATTTGTGTTTTGAATAGCGAGCAAGTGAAGCAAGGAGACAGTTTGCAAGACGGTATGAAAAGAAAGTCTTAGATTATTCAACACACAATGGCCAGTACTACATAGAACTTATTAAAATTTTAATTATCTAGTTTTGTGGTAGTTACTCTTCTTAACTTGTAGATTTTAGTTTTAACACATATCTCAATATATTTAGGTTGTTTTCAAGATTTAAGTAACAAAATTAGTTTATGTAATTGCATCTTTGATTTTCTTTCGTGCAATAAACATCAGGTTTATTCTAATTTACATTTTATTTGGTTCATTTAAAATTTATTAATTTTAAATTCACAGTATTACTAAACTCAATGAAATTATTCAAAGCATATTAACAATCAATTTTGCAAGAAGACATCACTCCCTTTTACAAATCTTCTGGAGGGCAAAGAACTCAATCTTAAACAAACATTTTTTTAGTTAATTTAACGGATGTTGATTACTTGGAAAAGTCATTGGAAAAATCTTTTTTTTTTTGCTTTTTAGAAAAATAAATGTTACGTTCGATATCTAGATTTACTCGATGTGAAGCTACTTGAGGATTTTGGGGAAACAATAATATTTTAACATATTTATTTATAAATTAATTTTAATTTATTAAATAATATATATTAGATATTTTATTAGTTCTTTTTAACAATTAAATTAAAAAGCCAATGACTTAAATAACTCATTGATAATCTTTTTCCATCGAAAATAAGAGGTTCTGAGTTCAAGTCATATGAGATATAGGTGCGGTGGGATAAGGGATAAGAGATTGTTGTCTCTCATTATGCAACTAAGATAAAAAAAAATTAAATTAAAATAAAAAGGACTATGTTATAAAATTTGAAATCTTAAGGATACAATTATTCGATTGTAAAAAATGGAGGATGACTTTGGCTGGGCCAAAACCTGTTCCATGTTTTCCTTCTCCGCCGCGCCTGTCGGCCTCTTCGACCAAAC